AATTTTGTGGAATATTTCAACTGTGCAACTAGTTGTACAAATTTTCCCCATTTTCAAAATACAAAGAAAAGTGTATTATTAGTTGAAGTCGCGAATATAGGCCGAACCAACACTTAAATTCAATATTCGCGCGTATCTTGTCGATTATGTTATAAGCTTGATCAATTAGTACTTTTTTTATTAATTCTTTTTTAATAGGTTGAATGTTTATATGGGTGTTTGCACCATTTTGGTGCAACATTTAGATCAACAATTGTCCTAAGTCATTTAATAATTTCCCCTTTTTTCTATCTTCATTTTGTTAATTAGATCAATCAAGAAGAGCTGCACCTTAGCTGCCCAAATAATTTGCCCAACTCTCTTCCATGATTAGTTACAACTCAGATCACACTAATCAAGTTTAATTATCTCTAATCTTTATTTTTCCAGATTAATTAAGTTAATTACTTTAAATAATTCTTCATGTGACATTCCATATATTTTTAGCCAATGATTAATTAAAGTTTGTGAACCCATATTATGATCATCACTTGACTTTTTATCTTATTTTATTTAATTTTTTTATTGAAATTGTATGATTAAAAAATGTCTTTTTTTTTAATTTAATTTAATTTAATTTTATAGGATGCTCGTCGGTACATGGAATGTTGGCGGCAAATCTCCACACGATGGACTAAACCTCAATGATTGGTTAAAAACCAAATCCCCAGCTGACATTTATGTACTAGGGTAATTTAATTTAGTTTTAGTCAAAGCTTTGCATTTCATAAATATTTATTTGTTTCTAATCAATATATATGGTTATTCTAATAAAATAAAATGAAAAGTTACATTAATTAAATCCAATTTCATACGATTCAATCCGATTCGTATTTTACGATTGTGTATTTTCATGTTACCTAATATTTTATCTGATCGAAAGTTTAATACTTAAATACAAATTTACCTAAATTTTATTTCACGTTTTCGTTATGTTTGTGTTATAAATGTTGGACTGATCATAGTGTCGTCGTTATGTGTTCGTAGTAAATATCGTGCCAATTATTCTCATTAATTTTCTAAATTGAAAATTCGATTATTTGATTTAATGATACAAAAATACTATATAGTGATTAACTTTTATTTTTTTTTTGGCGACAAAAATCAGGTTCCAGGAGATTGTACCGCTAAATGCAGGCAATGTGCTAGGGCCCGAGGATTGTGGCCCGGCCGAAAAATGGCTATCCTTAATCCGACAAGCCCTAAACCGTAATCCCGAGGACTCTGTGTCCAAACAGTCCCTTACACCAAACAACCAATATTCCAATCCAAGGGTCAGCTTCTCGGATTTGCTTTCACTAGAAGACGAGGATTTCGCAAATTTGAGGTCGATTTCCTGCTCCGGTGAGGTGGGTTCACCTGGACCGCTCAATGGTGATTGGACAAAACATCCTAGTACAAGACATCACAATAAGTACTGTTTGGCTGCGAGTAAACAAATGGTGGGGATTTTCCTGTGTGTTTGGGTTCGTGAGGATTTGTACCATCACATAAGTAGTTT